GATAGTACTATTGGGCCGTGGTGGGTCCAAATCGAGGTCCAAATGTGTAGAGATCATATCTTATGTATTCATTATGCATGTTAACTGAACAAATTAATAATAATAAGGTCACTTCCTCTCCAAACAGACTGAACAGTATTGTTGGGCAACGATGGGCTCGACTTTGAACACATCTTGATGATCCAAACCATTCAATATATAGAGACCATATCTTTTGTATTCATTATGCAGGTTAACAAAACAAATTAATAATAATAGAATCCAGCTTCTCTCCAATTTGAAAACAAACGGTGTTTTTGGGCCACGGTGGGCCTGACTCTGGGCTCATCTCGATGATCCAAACTATTCAATGTGTAGAGATTGTCGAATATATCATCCTTACAAAAAATCACATTAATCAGATAGCGATAACTACTTGATTAGCTTGCATTTGTGTCAGCGATTTATATTTGAAATCATAATTACCGTTGAGATAAATACAAACAGATCACATGACTACTGATATCTAATTAACGTAATTTTTTTTAGAGATAATGAACTCGACAAGCTTTACATATTAAATGGTTTGAATAATCAAGATAGGCCCATAGTCAAGCCCACTATGGCCCAATAGCACCGTACAATTTGATTTTGGACCGGAGAAAAGCTATGGCCATAATGAAAAATTTGTAAAATATTACATTGAAACTCCCCTCAAAATACAAAATTAAGATTATTAGAAATAAAACATGATGGACTAATCTACAATTTAAATAAAAGTACCAGAGTGTACAATGCTATTTTTTCAAATAAAATTCGCAAACATGTAAAGACACATTCATATATAAATTGCTAAATGCTAAATTGATACTCAATATATTTACAAAAATCACTCTTATCAATTTGTCACACCAGCTCTCATCCGGATCAAAATTTGCTCCAACTATGCTATAGGGCTGGCTCACCCAAATCACCGTAACTTTAAATTCAAAACCCAATTTTAACAAAGGCCTTGTTGGCAAAGGCTATTTTTTTTTTATTTTTTGGGCTAAAAAATACGAAAAGACAAAATAGACTTAAAATAGCTAATAAGACAAAATGTCACATCAAACTCATAATCATTTCACTATTTCTCTCACAAACATTACATCAAACTACAAAAAAATCTAACCATTCTCCCAATCACAAATATTTTAACCTATTAAAATAGTCAAAAATTAAAATAGCCTATCAAAATAACAACTTTCCAAACACCCACAAATACACCTTTTGTTTTTTGGGGTGTGGATTGACCATTACTTTGGTACTCCTTTTGTCCTACTTTATAAAGTTTCGAACATAAAGAAGAGGATGGCAACGAAAACAACAGAGAAGAGAACCATCAACGGATGCCAACCAATTCAACCTCATATACGAGCCAAGAGTTTGGCGGTATATTCTCACCAGCTCCCTGACTACAAAAGCACCATAGCAGCACAATAGTAGCAATACAACAACAAGCCAAATCACTTTCTAGCAGCAATGTTGACATTGGTTAGAGCTGCAAAGAAATTAATTTCAGTTTAAAGTAAAAACTAACACAATACATGAATGTAATTTAAATGATAAATTGAATATTGAAATTCCATTACTTCTTTCTATATCCTCCAAATCTGCAAAGTTTTCTTCCATCTCAAGTGGCAATGGCAAAGCACACAAACAAGAAAAAGAAATACATCAAAAAAATAGGATTAATATTATAACACAGAGATTATAACACAGATTATAACAGAAAGGCTTGCACAAATGTAATCAGAGATTTAGCAGTTTTAGAACACAGATTATAACACAAATGTAAAGAATTACTAGCACTTTGAGCAGTTGGGCAAAACTAGAAACACTAAATAGCATTAAACATGTAATCAATCCATTGTAGATAAGATGAAATGAACAATCAACAAGATGAATGATCTGAGATAAAATCAAACAGATCATATATGAGCAGAGTTATCAAATATGGCTTAAAAAACAGAGCAATCAAACAAAACATACACAAATATAAAATTAATCTGAGAGTACAATGCAAAAACAGAGTTATAAAGAGAACAAACATAAATCTGAGAGTACAATGCAAAAAGAAACAGAACACAAATGAAATCCACAAATCTGGATAGATATAATATATACATAAGAAACCCACAAAAAGAAAATATAAGAGTTATCAAATGTGACAAATCTGGGGTTGGAAAAATCAGCAAACAGGTTACAGAATAAACCCACAAAAAGAAAATATAATATATATATATATAGAGGGAGAGAGAGAGAGAGAGAGAGAAAGAGGGGAGGGAGAGAGAGCTACAACTAATGATCTGAGATAGATGATTTGATCTGAGATGGAGGATCTGAGAGAGAACTTGTCTGAGAAAAAGAAGAGAGAGATAAAGAGAGAGTGCCGAGAGAGAGAAAGAGAGCTACAACTACCAATTTAAGATATATGATCTGATATAAGATAGAGGATCTGAGAAAAAGAGATGAGAGTGTAAGAGGCAATGAGTGAGTGATGTGTGAGGTTAAAGATCTGAGATGGAGGATCTGAGAGAGAACTTGTATAAGAAAGAGAAGAGAGAGAAAGTACCGAAAGAGAGAGATGAGAGTGTAAGAGGTAGTGAGTATGAGCGGCGTGTGTGTGAGGTTGAATTAGGGTTGGTGTTTAGCTTTTATATGAAACAAGAAATGATATTATGTGGGAGGATATATAGTATAAATATAGACTATTTATATACGGGCCGGATCGGTTTCAATCAGGAACCGTGGGGTTCAATCTAGAACCAATCCGTGGCCTACGGATTTTTAAATTTCTAATCCGGAATCGAACCACAGATCCAAAATACCAATTTAATCCTACTGGATTGGACTGGACCAGATTAGATTACGGATTATACAAATTCCTTGCTTAGCCCTACCTTTGGGTTCATATGAAACAAAAAAAAGAATGAAGGACTAAACAGTTCACAAGATCACATTTTGAGATTTATTGGTGCTTCAACATTTTTTTTATAATTATGACTCAACAAATTAAAATTATGTTTTTATTTTTTTTTAGTTATAAGGTGCATATAATGCAAATCTTTCGAAAGGTATAGAGCATAGTGTTTCTCATATCATGAATAATGATACATTATCTTGTTGTAATCATTTCATTCAAATCTAAAATTATTATTTTGTTCATAATTTTTAAAAAATGGTTATCACACCATCCTAAATAAATATTGTATGAAATTGTCTTTGTAAGTAATTTTTTATACAAAGATGAGGAGTTTTGTAATTTACCCTTATTTTTTTCATTAACTAATTAATGTGTGCATTTTTTTTAAATTTAATTTAATTTTTATGGAAAAAAAATTACCTAACCATAATGTTCTTTCATTAAATTGTGTAATGTTGTTAGCATTTTTTTATCTAATCATATTCTGTATTTTGTAGATTTTGTGTGTGGATTTTTTTTAAGGAAATGTTAATATACACATCCCTTGAAAAAAAGTGTCATATACATCCCTAATTATATAATTTTCTTCTTTAATTATGATAATATTTTAATTATGATTCATGAGATCTTTAGTTATGTCATATGTGATATTTGGTCATAATTATTATTAGTATTTCTTTTTAATTATGACTCAAAAAATATGCAATTTTTTTCTTTAATTATAAAGTGCATATAGTATACATTCTTAGAAGGATATGTATCATAGTCTTTTTCTGTCTTTTATATTATCTAATCATATCTTCTGTATTCATTATGGATGTTAACAAAACAAATTAATAATAATAGAGTCCAACTCCTCTCCAATCTGGAAACAGACTAGACAGTACTATTAGGTCGCGGTGGGTCCAAATCGAGGCCCAAATGTGTAGAGATCATATCTTATGTATTCATTATGCATGTTAACTGAACAAATTAATAAGGTACACCTCCTCTCCAAACAGACTGGATGATATTGTTGGGCCGCGATGGGCCCGACTTTGAACACATCTCGATGATCCAAATAATTCAATGTATAGAGATCATATCTTTTGTATTCATTATGCAGGTTAGCAAAACAAATTAATAATAATAATAGGATCTAGCTTCTCTACAATTCGAAAACAAACGGTGTTGTTGGGCCACGATGGGCCCGACTCTGGGCCCATCTCGATGATCCAAACTATTCAATGTGTAGAGATTGTCGAATATATCATTCCTACAAAAAATCACATTAATCAGATAGCGATAACCACTTGATTAGCTTGAATGTGTCGGTGATTTATTTTTGAAATTATAATTACCGTTGAGATAAATACAAACAGATTAAATGACTATTGATATTCAATTAACGTAATTTTTTTCCAAGATAATAAACTCGACAAGCTCTACATATTGAATGGTTTGAATGATCAAGATAGGCCCATAATCAACCCCACTATAGCCCAATAGCACCGTACAAATTGATTTTGGACCGGAGAAAAGCTATGGCCATGATGAAAAATTTGCAAAACATTACATTGAAACTCCCCTTAAAATACAAAATTAAGATTATTAGAAATAAAACATGATGGACTAATCTACAATTTAAATAAAAGTATCAGAGTGCACAATGCTATTTTTTCAAATAAAATTCACAAACATGTAAAGACGCATTCATATATAAATTGCTAAATGCTAATTGATACTAAATATATTTACAAAAATCACTCTTATCAATTTGTCACTCCAGCTCTCATCCGGATCAAAATTTGCTCCAACTATGCTATAGGGCCGGCTCACCCAAATCACCGTAACTTTAAATTCAAAACCCAATTTCAACAAAGGCCTTGCTTGGTAAAGGTTATTTTTTTATTTTTTGGGCTTAAAAAAGACAAAAAGACAAAATAGACTAATAACCAATAAGACAACATATCACATCAAACCCATAATCATGTCACTTTTCCTCTCATAAATATTACATCAAACTACAAAAAAATCTAACCATTCTCCCAATCACAAATATTTTAATGTACTAAAATAGTCAAAAATTAAAATAACCTATTAAAATAACAACTTTCCAAACACTGACAAATACACCTTTTGTTTTTTGGGGTGTGGATTGACCATTACTTTGGTACCCCTTTTGTCCTACTTTATAAAGTTTCGAACATAAAGACGAGGATGGCAACGAAAACAACAGAGAAGAGAACCATCAACGGATGCCAACCAATTCAACCTCATATACGAGCCAAGAGTTTGGCGGTATATTCTCACCAGCTCCCTGACTACCATAACTGCATCACAAAGATAAGATATGTTTATGCGAGGGAGTGAAAAAACAAGCAGAGAAACAGAAGCGAAATTTAATACATATTCACATAAAAATAAATAAATAAAAGGATTTTATCTTATACCCCATTAATGGTGGGATAGTGAGCCTTCTTTTGTCACCAACTCGCATACCTGAGATATTAGCAAAAATATAAACCTAAGATGGTAGCAAAAATAATAATGAAACAACAACAAAATTATCAACTTAACACTTGCAAAAAAAAAAATTGTCCATGAGGTAATTACCGTTAAGACCCATATTCCATCCCTCTATAACATCTTCAGCACCTACATGAAGCAATATAGTGGGGTGAGATTAGGGTTAAACATAAAATAAACAAAACAAAACAAAACAAAAAATATGTTATTTGCTGGATAAATACCTAGACGAAACTTTAAGGGAGTTTTGCCGATATTTGTGTCAAATATTTGTCCATTCTCCCTTAACTTGCCGATATAATGGACTTTGACCTAAGCCAAACAAAAGTTAATTCAATCAACAAAGGCAATACCACAAAAACATATAGAAACTCACAGGCTTTGACCTAAGCCAAACAAAATATGATACAATTGACAACATATATTCACCTATTACAACATATAGGACTACAATAATATAATTCAAATTACTTCCTGTTCATGAAATTGGCTGGGATGATCACATCCACCAACAATTATTCATTTATTGATCGATTAAAAACAAAATACTTGCCTTTTTCCCCAAAGCAGCTATTTTGCCATCAGGGTTACCCATTTCTAGCTCTTCAATGACCAATCCATTTGATAAGGTCCTCACTTGAGATGACTTGGCTTCCACATTCTTGTCCTCAAATCCCATAATGGAGTCGTTCTTTTCTTCTGTTGTCAAGGAAGGTGCATCTTTATTCATATTTCCCTCACTCTCCTGAATTTTACTCTTCTTTTTTTTCTTTTTAGTTTTCTTGTCCACAGATTGATCTCCATCAGCTACTTGATTGGAATCAATGTCAATACTCCTGCACATAATTTAAAGCAAAATTTTCTACAAAATCAGAAAACAATATTAGGAGACAAGTAGTGGAGAAGGCTGATTACCAAACTGGAAGATCAAGGCTAATGCTTTATTTTTTGAGGGGGAAATTACAAAATAATCCCAGGGTTTGACCCATGTAGCTTATTATTAGATCCTAAGTTTTTAAATTTTTTCAAATGAAACGTTGAATTTTTAAATTATACACAATTCCAACTCTTCATCTATTCCCATTTACTTATCTAACAGACTTGTTTTTTGACAAGACATGTGTTTGAACTTGATCACACCAAATCATCATCACTATTTTTATCAACCATCTATGATCAAAACCATCCCTCATCAACTATACCATGAAATTGAGCATCAAGAATCAAACCCTACCACTCTCTCCTATTTACAGCCACCTGCTCGGCTCCTGCTCCTGCGTCTCCCCTCCCCTGGCTCACCCAAATCACCCGACTGGTGTTGTTGGTAATGAGCCTTGGAGGAATTGTCAAAGAGGTTAAGGGTTCAGAGAATTCACCCATCAATTTCTGCCTTGAAAGCTCCAACTTGACTCCAACCCAACCATTAACAATTCCGAACTCCAACAATTGAATGCTTATCCAGTTACAGAAATTGAGGACAAATTGCATGTGATGCCTATCCATTTACAGCAATTGGATTTGGGAGGAGATGAATTGGTGCTCCCCCAACCATTAAAAATTCCTGGCTCCAATGCCTCGAGATCATTTGGTGGGGGTGCGGTGAGAGAAGGGGGTTAGGTGTGGCAGTGTGATGGGGGAAGGGGCTGGGAGTGACGGTGTGGTGAGGGAAGGGGGCAGGGGGTGGTGGTGAGCGCAGTGGAGGTGGATGGCTTTGGTAGGAGAAGGTGGTGGATGTGGGTGGCTGCAATAAGAGGAGGTGGCAGTGGTGAGTTTGTATATATATTGTATCTATATGTATGTATGTATTTTTTAATGATGAAGATGAAATGAGGAATTTACAAAATTGTCCCTACTCTTTTAGACAGATGACTTCTGTTGTACTCATTTTAAAAATTCACGGTTTTATTTGAAAAGAATTAAAACCTCAGTTTAATGTGTTATAGTACAGGGATCAAATCCTAGGGTTATTTTTAATTTTTTTTTATTGCATTTTCCCTTTTTTCTGGTACATCGGATACCATAGCCTAGTAAGGGGCGGGTCTAGCCTATGGTGAGACTTGAACCCTTGACCAGTGAAGGGGGTTGCAATTAAAAGTAGTTAGGAAGGAGAAAAAAAAAATGCTCTACACAGTTCTATTTAACATATTAGGGGCAAAGTACTCACTTAATGCTGGCAAACTTTTCATCTTGTTCACTTCTGACACTTTTGCCAGCACCCCCATTTTGCTTCATTTTGTCCTCTTTAAGGACATTATTATAGTTTGCACTACCTTCAACAGCTTTTCCGTCAGCAGCGCATTCTTTCCTTCTCTTCTTAGGCTTTGCACCATTTTCTGAGCCAGCTTCAGTAGAAGGCAGACACCAGTCAGTTTCCCTGTTCAAGTAAACCATACAACGTGAACACAATTAAGGCTCAAAAAACAGAATTATCAACCAAAACATGTGCATATTTACAAGCATATGCATGCATGCAGGAATCACATCCAACACTTGAAAGAAAAATTATAGTCCTCACTTGAAAAGAATTAAAACCTCAGTTTAATGTGTTATAGTACAGGGATCAAATCCTAGGGTTATTTTTGATTTTTTTTTATTGTATTTTCCTTTTTTTCTGGTACATCGGATACCATAGCCTAGTAAGGGGAGGGTCTAGCCTATGGTGAGACTTGAACCCTTGACCAGTGAAGGGGGTTGCAATTAAAAGTAGTTAGGAAGGAGAAAAAAAAAATGCTCTTCACAGTTCTATTTAACATATTAGGGGCAAAGTACTCACTTAACGCTGGCAAACTTTTCATCTTGTTCACTTCTAACACTTTTTCTAGCAGCGCCATTTTGCTTCATTTTGTCCTCTTTAAGGACATTATTATAGTTTGCACTGCCTTCAACAGCTTTTCTGTCAGCAGCGCATTCTTTCCTTCTCTTCTTAGGCTTTGCACCATTTTCTGAGCCAGCTTCAGTAGAAGGCAGACACCAGTCAGTTTCCCTGTTCAAGTAAACCATACAACGTGAACACAATTAAGGCTCAAAAAACAGAATTATCAACCAAAACATGTGCATATTTACAAGCATATGCATGCATGCAGGAATCACATCCAACACTTGAAAGAAAAATTATAGTCCTCACTTTTCAGTGGCTGGCTTCTGATCCTCTGCTTTGTCTTGCAGGACTTCATGATCTTTCAGGGAATTACTATGGTTAACAACGCCCGACATGAGAGTTTTTCCCTTTGTTCTTTCTTTCCTTTTCTTCTTTGACTTCATGTGGTTTTCAAAGCCCACTTCATTAGAAGGGGGTAAGGAATTATATGGCAGGTCAGATTCCCTGCTTGAACACATCATTTAAGCATGAAACAAGCATAAATTAAAATTAACAAAAAAGATAACCAATAAGATCCAATGTTCAAGAATATAACACACATGCACACATTATCAACAGCTCAAAAGAAGACAATAATACTGACTTATCAGTGTCTGGCTTTTGAGTCTTTTCTCCTGTGTACTGCAATTTCTCCTCATTGTGGGCATTGTAACAATAAACAGTAACAGTTTTAAGAGTCTTCCCCTCACTGGACCTTTCTTTCCTTTCCCTCTTCAGTTCAAAGCTGTTCTCAGAGCCCACTCCATCAGAGCAAAGGAAGGAACCAGATGGCAGGTCGATTCCCCTGCTTGAGTATACCAATAAGATGAACACAAAGAACAAAAGAATCATCAATGAAACCCTCACATAAACGATGTCTAGACAAGCATCAGTAGGGTGATTCCTTCATCACACAAAGTTTATCCCCGTTTGTGTAATTATGAAATCTGTTTTTTCTATTGTCTTAATCTTAAATGGCGAAGAGTAGCATATATAACTGGTGGTTACGATTTTTTTTTTTAACTACACAGAAAAAATCTGGGATAAACAAAAATTACAACAGGTAGATACTAACATAAATCATCCAAGGCATATGTGAACTACCATAATAAGCAGTCATACAACACTCTCACCTTTCTGGCTCACCATCTACAACAACAGCATCAGCTTTACTTTTTGGATCAATAATGCAAGTGCCATCATCTTCTGTCTTCTTGTTGCCTGTTTTACTTGTTTCCATGTCAATCTTTTCTCCCGCTTCAGTTCTACTACTTTTATGTAGAAATGAAATTGGGAAGTTGTCTTCATCTTCACTTACTAGTCCTGATACACCCGTGCATTCATTGATAATATGTTTTTGGTGGGAATTATTGTCATCATCATCGTCAGATTCAATTGACTGGTAATTCTTCTTAAGTCGTTTACGGATACTTTTCCTCCTTGGCTTCTTCATATCCAACATCTCCTCATCAACCTCTGGAGTCAAGATCACCAAATTTCAAACAGAATACACTTCACTTAAAAAATTGCATAAACTATTTTTTCCAAATGTATTAGCAAGTGAACACCGTAAAATAAATCCACAAACTTTCACGTCAGATCAACAGTAATTTGATAAAAAAGTTCTTCACTTCGATTGAATCTGAATAAAGATTGCACAACTTGGCAACATGTCGCACAGAATACTACCAAGTCCCGGCAAAAACAAACAAAATTATGTGATTGACAAATTTAATGTTGCCAAAAATAGGTGAATTATATGTAATGTTTAAAATTGAAAAGGCACTGTGCAGCCACTAAAATAGAGTTGACTCAAAATTGTATTCACAAATTTCACAGGGAGAAATGAAGCATAAGGAATGAGAAAGATACCTCTGTCATTCGAAATAGGAGAAGCTGGAAAAACTTCAACATTACCATCATCAATAAAACTATCCTCATATTCATCTTCATCGCTGCAATGAGTTGATCGTTCTGTCTCTGAGTTTGCAATATCCTCCCCGTAGGAATCTCTTTGCCATCATAGTGAAGGAAAGTAGAAAGATTCATGCTACTAAACTAACAAGATATAAAGCAGCTTTTGTCCAAAACAGTCCAAGTGGTTAGGATAAAAATATTTCTGGCAGTGGGATTGCCAAAAAACTCCCCACACACCAGATGTGGTAAGGAACTTCTATAAATAAAAGAGATATAAGTTAATTACTTTAATTTGACACTGAAATAAGAGATGGCAGTCATATGAATCATGATAATGAGGAGGTGTGACAATCTATGAAGCACGGATACTTCTAGAAGAGAGTCCTATCCATATCGGATACTGATACTCGAATACTCGCACATACATACATATATATATATATATATATATTTTGGTAAGAGTAGATACATATTTGATACTTCTCAAACATATCCGATACTTGATATTAATTTTCTTTGATTTTGAGAAGTATTAGATACTTTTTGGATACTCCAAGTCACATATCCGAATTATTATGAAAGTGAGATTGTAATAATTCTTGCACACCATTAAAGTATATGAATTCCATATCCATACTTTCTATAAAGTAAGAATAAATAAGAAAATATAATGATACTAAAATCGGATTTCGACAATTAAATAAACAAGTATATTTGAGTAAAACACATTTGCATATAACACATTTAAGTGTGAAAGGAAAAGGTACAAGGGCAATAAACACAATTTCGAGTTGATATTGCAATGGAATTTTCATAGGACCTACTAAAATTTTTTTTGGTAAAGTGATTGTCATTGGACATTCTTTGAGCTAATGTGTAAAAAAATACTAAAAATTATTATAAATAAAACAATAATAGATTTTTTTTTTTTACTAAAGTATCCTAGACTAGACGTTCCTGTGTCCTATTTATTTAAATTTTTTTGTGTTGCCATATCCATATTGTAACATACCCCATATCCTTTATCAGCATCCGTATCTATGCTTCATAGGTGACAATTCACTGCTTGTCTCACTGACAGGAAGGAAATATGAAAAATGCTATATAAAATATCAAATTTAGAATTTTCCTTAATTATAGATGTAGAAACATTAACAGAACTTTGGAATAAAAAACAAGACCCAGTAACATACTATGACAGGAACAACTCTTGCAAGCAAAAAATGTTTGTATAGCATTACTACATGAGATCAAGTGAGGGAAAATTTGACATAGTAACACAAGGATACGTGTCGTCATTTAGATTTGAGTGTCGGCCATTACCCAAATAGTAACCGGTGAGGTAAACACTTCGAGGACCAATAACAGAGAAGACAACTTCATCAGCCTCTTCAAATTCCAATTCCAAATGGCATGATTCTATTTTATCAGGCAACAAAGCACATAGAAAAACAGGACTCTTATCTCCTACATTACACTGAACTAAGCTAGTCTTTGTAGACGAGCCAATCCCCAACGTTGCCTAAGAAATCACAACACATTGATCAGCCATTACCAAAAACACCCTAGTCTTGAAAGTTCTACGTATGAGCATCTCCAATCCTCGACTCAAATCTATATCAAATTTAAATTAGGATAAAAATACTCAAAACACCCTCCACTCCTTGACCCAAACTTATACCAAATGAAGTTTCACTCAAAATTTTACCCAAATCAAGAGAGACTCAAATGTTTACTCAAAATTTTCAAGGCAAATTTGTGGCTCTCAAGCTTATCACTTGCCATCAGTGAAGCTTTTACTCAATTTTATTTATAAATCTCAGTATGTCCATTAGAGTGGTTCATATCATATCAAATAAAGCTTTGACTAAAATTTGAGTAAGGGCTGGAGATGACAAGTTTACATACATAGTAACCTCAAATTCAGTTCAATTGCCCCCAATAATGGAATTTGGAAAAGAAAATACAGGTTTTGTTGGGGAATCAATACCTGAGAAATGCGAAGCCTTCCTCTGATCCGATCAAATGAATGAGTGAATGGTTTTCCAGGTTTTACCTCAACCCCTGAAAGTGAAACCCCAATTGAAATTTAATTGTAAGTAGAGAACATACCAATCTAGATTTACATCAAACAAAAGATTCTACAATTCAGAGATTCCATTTTGATTCCTTGTTGAAAAAACAAAAGAAAAAAGAAGCGTATACACGTATATATATATAGAGAGAGAGAGAGAGAGCGCTAACCCCAGAAAGCCATTCGTGGAGCGAAATGTTGTAGGGTTTGGATTGAAGTTCAAATGATCAAATAAGAGGTGTTCTTTAAACCCTAGATGATGGAGCTCTTGGGTTTGTTAAACCCTAGCAGATATATATATATATATATATAATTTATATAATATATGATTCAGGTGGGTCATGTGAATAATGACGTGGCATCGCTAGCGCGGGAATTTTAAAGCTGTTTATTGAGCTTCCCTAAAAAGAAAAAAGGAAAGAGGAAAAAAATTAAGAAATTGATCCTAATGAGCTTGCTTGTTTTCTCTTTTCAGTGAATATTTTTTAGAAAATTTTATTTTTTTATTTTTTATATTTTTTTATTTTTATTGACTTTTTTTAATATTTTAAACAATTTTTTTTAAAAAAATTTTTAGACACACTTAACATAAATATACATAAAAGTATAATTTTTGTGAAAAAATCTTTTAAA